CCATTTTCCCCACAGAGTCTGCATTCGCCGTTGTTTCTAAGCTTCAGTCTACTGAGGTGTTCGTTGAGGAGACAGTGTCCTGTTAGAAACCCCGTGACAATCCGAAGATTGTTATTATTTAAATCAAGAAAAACCTTTGATTTTTCTCGGTCGTAAGTTCTGAGGAACTTTTTCGAGTGTCTTAGACCGTTGGAGTATACCCATTTCAAGTTACGGATGGAGTCTTCCAGATTCTTCAGTTCCGCTTTCAGTTGGTTCCCGTTTGGAAAACAGAACGGTTCTGGTCCAGTTAGTGGGGTGTTCGCTCCTTTCCTAGTTAGATCATCTGCTTTTTCATTGCCTTTTATCCCTTGGCGAGCAGGCACCCAGAGTAGGAGGACTTTATTTTTCTTGCCTAATTTGTTGAGCTTCTCTAGGCATTCTTTGACCAACTACGAATTGATGGTTACTGAGTTGATCGCGTTTAGTGCTGCTTGACTATAGGATGGCAATTTCCTGTTTTCGCTAGTTCCTATCTAAGGTAAATTGTACGTATCTTTCGATACCGTAAATTTCTGCCTGAAGGATACTGGGGTAGGTGCCCATTGGTTCGGAGTATTTGGTTTTCGGCCCAAATACTCCTATCCCTGTCCGTGCTTTGGTTTTGGAGGCATACCACGTTATGGCATGGTCTTTTATATGCTGAGTAAGGCGTTTCTTTCTTTCCATCCTTTTTATTACTCAATACTACAGTGAGGTGTTTCACAAAGTTGTAAATTCTTGGTATGTCACTGGCAATTGGAGAGTTCGTCCATAATATCACTAAACTATTTTTTTTCTTTATTTATCTGAATTCATATTTACATATTATATTTAGCACGTATAAAGTCAATATGACAGAAAAATATTTCTTTTAAAATTATTTTTGGCAACAATAAAGTCAATTTGACATTGAAAGGTTGAATTTGAAGGTGGCATATTTCTTATTTCAATCAGGATCGTATCATTTTTTTGATTAATTTAGTATTTTTGTATTTCTCATTACTCAAGAACGAATTCGTATAAATAATTCAACATAACAATTTGCTTCATTTTAAGGAGTTCTTTAAAAAGATAATTTTTTCTGTAAAATATAATTTGTAAAGATTTTTTAAGTTTACATTGGATTTCCTATGTCCAAGTCGGCTATGCAACAGACTGTATAGTAATTTCAAAATACTCTAAAAAGACAAAAAAACATATAATAATTTATAAAAACATAAAAAGGCTTATATTTCTATTATTTCAACATATTTCATTAAAAACTGCAAAACTGTGAAAATTAATAATTTAATAATAAAACCAACGTACAAATATTTTTATTTAATATATTATCGATAAAACAAAACAAATTTTATCCATACTGGTAATGTTAAATTGAATATTTTAATTAAAACGCTAAATTTAAATTATTATATTATTGTCGATTGGGATTAAAATTTGAATATATTTTGTATTAAATTATAGTTATCGAAATATTTATATCTTCTGGAATATACTCTACCATACAGCAAAATAAAACACTAAATCACCACAATACACCAAAACACTTTTCTTTTTGACTGGACGCGCGTTTCGCTAACCATGTTAGCATCATCAGTAGATGATTAAAACTAAACTAATATCTACAAATTGAGCCTGTTCATACTATCTTTACATTTATTAATTTTAGTGTTTGGTCCAATGATAAAAATTACTTCAAAGCGGACTATTCAGACCAGTTTGTGCAGTTTTAACTGTGCATTTTTACGCTAAATAATTTTTTTTTAGATTTTTCCTACTTTTTTTTGAAGAACGTTATAAGTTATTAATCACTGCTTCTCTATTTGCTTTCAAATCAATCTTCTTTATTTTTTCTACTGAATGAAGTAGGTATTCATAATCTGCGGTTTTTTATTCCTCTCACAATAATCCTCAATTATTTTTTGCTTTCCTTAAATATGGCATGATTTTACAGGGTGAGTCTTAGATAAGTGCAAATATTTTTAGGGGTAGTATATTTCAACCCCAGAAACACGTCTAGGAGGTTTTTTTGGGAAAAAAATTGAAAATTTGGAACTTTCTGAACATTTTTTTGGAATTCTTTTTGGTTTTAGTTAAATAAAAAACATAATTTCTTGGTAATATGGCAACATAGGTAGTAAATTAAATTTACAAGAAAGAAAATCCATAAAAGTTCCAGGAAAACCCATTATTTTTAAATTTTCAAAATAAAATATCTGGGATATTTTGGACTTATTTAAAAAACGGTAAAGAGAAACTATAGTTTTTCTTTTATCGAGATCTGCCAGGAATTACTTTTACACATATAAGGAATTACTTTTAAATCTTTTCATGTTATATGGAACGTTTAAAACTGTTTCTTGTTCTATTCGGAGTAAAATTGAATTTTTGTGCCCAGAGCTGCAACAAGTCAGTTTTAAAAAGACTTAAGGACTCTTAAGTCATTTTTACAATCAAAATGATTTAAGTCTTAAGTTAAATTCAATATAAAGTTCAAATGACTTAAGTTTTAAATCTTTGACTTAAGTCATTTTTTTTCAAGTCAAGTTATTTTTGTAAAGACTTAAATCAATATAACATTACAACTACTACAAGGCTAAGTCAGTAAAATTACTTAAATTAATATAATTTCCCTCAAGTCAAGACAACCAGAATTCAACTTAAATACCCATTTTATGAATGTTAATATTAATTTTATTGTATTTCCCATTACCTATTTTTTATTATCTATATTAATTTGTTGTAGACACAGATTAGAATAAAATATTATATAAACAACTATAATAAACAATAAAAAAATAAACGCATCAAAGGAAAAAAACGCATATAAAAACAACAACAACTTAAATAAAATTAAATTTTGTGGTACGTTGTACAGACTGTCTCATTTTTGTGTGTGTTTACAGGGTTTCTCGTTTATGAGCAGCGACACAAGATACGGTTTTCACAGTTGCTACTTTTTTAAGACACTAAAGATGGTAAACACATATCTGATGCCGCTGTTAAAAATTTACTATAAAAATATATGAAAAAAAGATCTTTAAAAAAAAATAATTTGTAAAAAGGCTTAAATCTTTTAAAAAGACTTAAATCTTTTTTAATTACTTAAATTTAAATCTTTTTCTATTTCGGAATAAAGACTTAAATCACATCAAGATTTTGAAAATGACTTAAATTTTAAGTCTTAAGTCAGCTTTCGAAATATGACTTGAAATCAAATGATTTAAGTCATTAAAATGATTTAAGTCAAAAAAAGACTTAAGTTTTCTGTGAGCTTGCAGTTCTGTTTGTGCTTCGCCTGCAATGTCGCTAGCGCTCAAACGTACAGCCTCGCCACAAAAAGTATTATTTTTACTCCTAATAAAACAATATACTGTAGTAGTTTAGGCTTTCGCGGCCATCGTTTGAAGAATTTTGGTTTTTCGGGTTATTAGGCCGTCGTCGGTTAGAATTGCTTCCTAACGTTTCGCTAGGACGAGTGGCTAGCATCTTCAGAGGTGTGTTTGCTTCGACTTCTCACACTAGACTGATGCCGAGCATAAAATTTACTATGGAAACCGAAGTAAACAACCAACTGGCCTTCCTCGATGTGCTTGTCAAGAGAAATGACGTCCTTTTGGATCACACGGTGTATCGAAAACCCACTCATACAGACCGGTACTTACACAAACTATCAAATCACCATCCAAGCCAAAAACAGGGGATTATCGGAACATTAGCAAATAGAGCAAGACGTATCTGTGCTAATGAACACATCCAAGAGCATAACTAAGCCATTTAAATAAAGCCTTTCTTGCCAATGGCTATAATGACAGAGAAATAAAGGCGGCGCTGGCACCTAGGCAGAGGAGACCTGACGTTAATGAACAGGAAAACATCATTATTAAGGCCTTCCTTCCATATGTTTCCCAGGTAACCGTAAATAGGATTGGTAAAGTTCTCAAGAAGCATAACATCAAAACCATATATAAACCTACCCAGAAAATAAGGGACAACTTAAGACCAGCCAAAGACAAAATAGAACCATTATCCTCTGCAGGGATACCTTGTTCCTGCGGTAGCGTATATATTGGAACTACCAAACGCTCAGTAGGAACGAGACTTACGGAACACAAGAGAAACTGCGGATTAGTGCAAACAGAGAAGTCAGCCGTAGCAGAACATGCTCTATGAGATGGTGACCTCAAAATCCAATTCGAAGGCACCCAAGTCATTGCCACAACATCTGGATATCATCCTCGTCTGGTCAGGGAAGCTGTTGAAATTCAGAAACATCCAAATAATTTCAACAGGAAGGAAGAAACTTTTTACTTTAACAGAATTTGGCATCCAGCTATATCTAGGACCAAAGTAGCAGCACAGAGAAGTAGACCACTTGCGGAAGAACTACCACCCGAACAAGCCACGCCCCCTCCTCCGACGAATAAATATGCGCTATGCCGACGCGGAGGCATCAGTCTAGTGTGAGCAGTCGGAGCAATATCAAAAAGAAATACAGTAACACTCGGTTATAACGTACTCGACGGGCCCGCTAAAATCGGTACGTTAGAAGGAAACAGTGAAAATATGGACACACTTGCTAATTTTTATGCATTTAATTTAACGTTTTTAACAAAATATATTACATATAATGTGATGCAAAAGGATGTATTGCTCTGAGATCGAGATTGTGTGTATACACGTTACAAAAGAATTACGGTAAAAACGAGTCCGTTAAAGAAATACAAAATATTCAAGATGTTCCATAGTGTTGGCAGGGACTTGCATGATTGGTACGTTATAAACAAAGTTGCGTTATAAGCCTGTACGTTATAACCAAGTTTTACTGTAATATAAAGTGTCAAATATAACTAAAATTATCCTCTTATTATATTGAAACCTTTTAAAGACGTGCTTCTATTTGCTTGAGTGTCTTCGACAAGGAACCGTCGCTTCTGGCCATTTCAAGTTTTTAATTGAGATGAAATTATATTTTTCAGGTTAGCAGATCGGCGGAAGCCGAACAATGGTTTCGCAGGGCTCAGCGCTTGGCCCCCGAGGACGCCAGCGTTTACCACCACTACGGTAAGGGTTCTTAATTAATTTTAATTAGAAGGTGCAAAGCGGAAAACCGCCCAGGTTTCGGCACACCGGCCGAGTCACTTCAGGTGTTTTTTTATTATGTTCTGAATTTCTTGCGATAAAGAAAGTTTTAATTTGCAACCGCGGAAAAATAAGAACTTAGTTTTAATGAAGCTGTAATGCTTTGTATGTCGCTTTAATAAGTTAAGGCGTATAGCAGCGCTTCTAAACAAATAACTTTATAATTGTGGGTCGAAATTAATCTGTAGATAATAGGAAATAAGTTTTTTTATGAAAAACCTATACAGGGTGGCGATGGCGCCTCTCATACGACGCGGAGGCTGCAAGGAGGAGTAATATAAGTAATTCTATTCAAATGAAATTTTGTGAGCATATGTAGGTTGATTTAGAGCATTTTTTAAAAATATAGAGAGTTCTACAGGGTGTCCCCAAAAGAAGTTACACATCCAAGTTGTGTTTTTTGTAATGGAACACCCTACATATTAATTGATTTTCGGATTCTAGGAGGAATAGAAAGGTGAGTTTTATTAGCGAGGTATATAGCTAAAATGTAAGCTTTATGATATATTTAACAATTTTTAAAAAAGAGGAACAAATTTAAAATTTCAATAAATGCTACCTAAATTATAATTTATCCGGTATAGCGTATTATGTAGATAAAATAACTATTGTACTTTAAATCAAATTAAAACTTGATCCAAAAAATTATACAGGGTAAAAGAAAATTAATATTGAACACCGGTTACATTTAAAGCAATTTACCCTTTTATTTTAAATAGAACATCCGGTATGTAATTTCAATGCTCAATGGAGAATTCATATACCATCAAAATACTATTAAGGTTGCCTACCTTTTAAACAACGGTTTTCCTAGACTCTTTCATTTTTATGATTTTGCGTCAATAGAGATTTATTATTTGATAAATCTATGTGGCAATGATATATCTTTTGTCAATTTAAAAAAAATTAATGTATATAGAGTAAAATATTGAACGGTAATAAAAAAATACACGTTTAAAATATATATTAATTAATACAGAATTGAAACTAGATAGAAACGTATTATTATGTAACAAAAATTATCTAGATTAAATCAAATGCTCAAAATTCTTCCATTCGTTTTCGCTGCATAAAATGATACCCTTTCAAAAGATCTTTTATGCTAAGAGGCATATGTGAAGATCTACTTCGAAAAGCAGCCACAATCATTTCTTTCATGTCAACAATAGTCAACGAGTTTTGAAAACACTGTTTTTAGCATATCCCGATAAAAAAAAAAGTCAAGACTATGTCTATGTTATGAAGTAACGTCAAACTTATCACAACCACCTAGATTTTACCAAATAATAAAGACTTACTCTCACTAAATCATAAAAATGTAAACGCCTTGGACATGTGGGTATATCGACGCGCGACGGCTGCTGTGAATACCATGGACGGCTCATCGAACAAACATCTTCATTATTGAGGTCACGATGATCAGGTCATATTCATTATATATATGATCAGGTCATATTTGATCTCCATTATTACTAAAAATTGAGATTCTGGTTACCAGATTAAATTAGTCAATCCTCCGATATTTTGGCTATATTCCATTTGGGCTGTGACCTTAATTGAGAGACGAGTCCAGGGGGAGGTAGAGAGAAGACGATCACGTGGAAGGTCACCTGAGGTGGTCACAAGAGGTGCGTAGACCAAGTCAAAACACTAGTTGGCCACAACCTCCCCGAAGCCTGACATATAGCGCAGTGTCGATCAACTTGGTCCGAGGAAGTGAGGGGAATGAACATATGATATCACCCTACTCTCACGTAGGGTGAAGGATTGAAGAGAGAGAGACTTATCTTCAACATTTCCCTCGTATAATAAAAATAATGTCATATCCATAGAAAAATAGGTTGACATAACTCCAAAATATGTTAGGAAATTCACATTCACCTAGCATTGACATTTTTCATCGTTTTATCCACATTTGACTATTAGATACCTGAGAAATTGCGATTCTGCCAATATGTACCCAACACGTGTCCAGAAAATGATTCGTACGGCAAGGAGGATACTAAAATCTGCTTAGCTACTTAACGGCTACTTTCGCTTGCCACTTTGAAAATGCAACATTTTTATGTCGAAGTTTCAGTATTCAGGTCCAGGTCTGTCTTCACTCTAACAGTCTAAACTCGATTAAGCCGATAAACCCGGGCAACGTCCTTTCTAGTAGGTGTCAAATTCATGGCCTCCTACGCTGCTCCATAAAATATGCACGCCCCTTTGATCTGATCTCCCGCAGTTATTTATCTCGCTCGGCCGCCAGGTGGTAGAGATAATGTTACCCCTTTGTAGCGTAATAAATTTTAGCCGCAGCGCAGAGTTTGATGCTTTAATTAGAATTTACCTCTTGCGGGGCTAAATCAAATTGGAACGGCGCGGCGGTGTGTTGTCTGAAACCGGCGGGGGTTTGGATGGAGAAACGTCGGAACACGCTAGGCCAGGCTCTTGCGGGTGTTAGTTGGAGGTGTGGAGGGATTGTGGGGGTTGCCGTTGTAAATTTATTTTATTACCGACCGGGGGTAAGAAAGTTTATATAAGTTTGATGGAAGGGTTCATGGGTGAGAAAATGTACGGCCGGGAATTATTTAGGAGAGGCCTAATTGCTAATTAATGTCAATCATGGTGTTCCGTATACAGTATGTCCCCGGATTGTCTTTACAAGAGGAAAAACTTTTTATTATTGATATTTTCAGAAAAAATGCATTCTTAACATTTTTGCTTGTTCTAAAATGGTTAATCCCGTTTATACTTTTCCAAATTTCCATACCTTTTTAGAGAAAATTAAAAAAAGCATAAAAATACGCATGAATTCCTAAAATGAAAGTCCTAAAAATCAAAAGGCTAAGTTTCTATGGTAATAGCATTTCGATTTCATTCTTTGATGGTAATTGTTAATTTTAATTCATGTCATATTTTTGCTATTGTTAAAGTATAACATTTTCCGATAACTATTATAACCTTTTCCGTAGCATTGAACTAAATACATTTTGTGTTTCTTCAATATCTTAAAACAGCTAAAAATATGACGTTAATTAAAATTCTATCAATAACAATCTATCAAATGAATGAAAACGAAATTATATTACCATAGAAACGCGTTTTGATAGTTAGGACTTTCAGAAAAAATCAATTTTTATATTGTCATGTTTATTTTTAAATTTTCTCTAAAACGATATGTATATTTGGAAATGTATAAACAAGATTGACCATTTTAGAACAACCAAAAACTTAAAATAATGAAATTTTTGCAAAGTGTTAATAATAAAAAAGTGTTTCCTCTTGTGAAGACCATCCGGGGAGAGACCGTATATTTTTTTAATTAAATTCTGTAACTTTTTGTTCTACAGGGTGTTTCAGAAAAACATGTGCCATCTCTCGTGGATATATTCCTTACGTAAAAATAAGATTTATTTTTCATATCAACATGGGTCCGATTCTACTTAGTTTCGTAGCTACTGGGGGTTAAAGTCTTCATCTTTTTTCAATTTATTATAATTTTCTTCCAAGTGCTTTTCGCGATTCGAATGAAATTTTGAACGTAAAATTTACTATAAGTGCCACCTATTTTAATGCTAAAAAATGAAGACATGTTCACCAGGGACGTGCATATGGGTTGTTACTGGAAATATGTGCCTCGCTACCTTTTTTTCCTATTATTGTTACCAAAATTAGGTAGCCCGTTAAATGCTGATACAAAGTTGTCTCTTGATATTTTGCCGATTTCGGTCTCTTTGTATGCATATGTTTTTTTAGAAAAATATTGCAGTGGTATGCATATGGTGCATATGTACGTTTAGTATTAAATTATGTTGCCCTCATCTTTTTACCTTCCAAATTTCATTCGAATCGCTAAAAGCACTCTCAAGAAAATTATAATAAATCGAAAAAACATGAAGACTTCCGCATGTAGCTACGGAACAAAACAAAATCAATGTAGAATGTGCAACAAATGCTGTTGGAACAAATAGAATGTTGATATGAAAAAAAAATCTTATTTTTACGTAAGGAATCTCCCCACGGGAGATGGCACATATTTTTTGAGACACTCTGTATAAAATACACTTCCTTACATTTTTCAGACATAGATAATTTAAAGCCTAGTTTTCTTAAATTCGAATTTCGGAATATATAACGGCACGAAATTTGTAAAAAGTTGAAAAAACAATTTATGATTAATATAAAATTAAGCCATACATTCGTAAAAATATATTTGGATAAATGAAAACCTTAAATAAACTTTGGCAAATAAAAAATTGGTACATAGGCTTTGTAGTTTCAGGATTTCGATTAGGTCACTCTTAATATCGGGTGAGTTGTACAGGGTGGTCGAAAGTGGCCTGTTTTAACAGAGAAAACCTATTTCCTGACTAGATAGAGCAAAACCGAGACATAGATGTCGTGGGTTTGATTTCTGAGAAACATTTAATGACAAACCGCCTGTTGATATTTTCACTGCTAACTGGGATTGAATTGAATAACATTAATGTTGAAAATTGCCCATAACTTTTTTATTCACGGAATAATAAAATTCTGTAAAAACGTTCTTAAGGCACTTTTTTAAGCACAATTCAGTGGCGTAGTCAGTTTTTTTCTATACTTGCTCTTTTTGTCAGAAATGATAAAAAATATAATTTTTTAAATGGAAATCATAGTCGGCTATGAACTTAAAAAAATTCTGGCGCTTAACCCTTTCCAACGATATAAAGTTATGTGTATTTATTTCTAAGAATAAGAGAAATATTTGGTTTGGGGACTTGATTTTGTTTTGACCTAGTTGCCTAATTATTTTTTGTTACAATTTAATATTCTATTTTTTTATAAGACTTTTGAAAAGGTAAATCAACATTCTATATTAGTATAACCAATTATAATTAAAACGGCAGGGTTATAACTGAACTATTAAATGGAGAATTTAGAGAGAATTGGATTGG